TGATTTTATTCTTGAAATGCTTATTACAAGAATCAAACCCTAATTGATAAAAAAAAAAAAAGACAACTCATCTTTTATTAATCGGACTAAACCCTAGTCGGTCAATAAAATTTTATTTATATATATCTATGAATTAAGTTGAGTATCTTGAAAATTTTTCCATTTTTAAATTTGACAGCAACTTGAAATTTGATGGTTACTATTAAATGAGTGGAGGAAAATGGTGATGTACATAAATCATAGCATTATATATCCTCCCAATTACCACATGGTTTAGGTAAACTTTTTTTTTTTATTTATCCCTAAATTATAATTTTTTATAATAAAAAATAAAAAAATAAATAAATTTGAGTCTCCACGTATGTTTTTTACCAAAATTTTCAGGATGACGTCAAAACAAGTCATTTTCCACCGAAGATTCTTCCATATCTAACAAATTTATATGGTTCCCATTATTTCAGTGGTTCCCAGAAAATATTGTGCGGAAAGAGTAACATGTAAATAGTAAAAAAAATTGACAATTCAGAAACGGAAAGCGAACACACGAGAGTAGAGGGTATGAAACAGGCACAAAAGAAGCGACAGGTTCGGTCACTGCGAACAAGGGAAGAGAAGGGATTAAGCTTCTCTGACAAAAGATAAGGCTTTGATATGCGTTGGGATATGTCAGCAAATTGCCATGTTGGACCAATGGTTTTCTTTGTCTCATCACTTGAGAAACAGTCACACTTGAACATTCTCTTTCCTATTCATATTCTGTTTTCACTTTTCTTCTGCTGCCCTTTAGTTCACCGTTTTCTCGTTTTCCTATCTTGGTTTTAGCTGCTTTTCTAAACAAGGACTGCCACTACCAGAGATTGACAGACCCCATATCTCAATACTCTCTCGTGAGTACCGTAATATCACTGACAGTACTGTATTTCTTTAGAAAAACTATGCAGGATTTGATGCTTTCATGGTCTTGACTCTTAACTCTTGCCATTGCTAGCTTCTTTCCATGGTGCATACAGAAATGAGAAGAATGGGGATAATGAGATTTCTTCAGCTGGTGATTTGCTTGCTTCTTTCCATGGCTGTTTTTCATGGTTGCATGGGAAATGATGATGCTTCTATTCAACTTAATGATGATGTTCTTGGCCTCATAGTCTTCAAATCAGATATCAAAGACCCGTCTTCTTATCTTGACTCATGGAATGAAGATGATAACTCGCCATGTTCATGGAGATTCATACAATGCAATCCTGTCAATGGTCGAGTTTCCGAGGTTTCACTCGATGGTTTGGGGTTATCAGGAAAGATTGGTAAAGGGCTTCAAAAGTTGCAGTATTTGAAGGTACTATCACTTTCTCATAACAAGTTTAGTGGTACTATTAGTACAGACCTTGGTCTTATTGGCAGTCTTGAAAGGCTTAATCTCAGTCATAATAGTCTTTCAGGGCGTATTCCAAGCTCTTTTGACACCATGAATTCAATTAGATTTCTCGATCTTTCTGGGAATTCCCTCTCTGGTTCAATCCCGGATGATCTCTTTCAAACTCGCTCATCACTTCGACATCTTTCTTTAGCTTCGAATTCACTTGAAGGGCAATTGCCTAGCACACTGGCTAGATGCTCCTATTTGAACACCCTTGATCTCTCCAAAAACCATTTTTCTGGTAACCTAGATTTTGCTTCTGGGATTTGGTCTATGCGGCGGCTTCGAACTTTGGATCTATCCCATAATGCATTTTCTGGGACTGTTCCAGAGGGGGTAATAGCCCTGCATAATTTGAAACAGCTCCTGTTACAGGGTAATGGCTTCTCAGGACCAATGCCTCTAGATATTGGACTATGCCCACATCTAAACACAATCGATTTGAGCTATAATCTTTTCACTGGACCACTTCCAGATTCTCTCCAGAGGCTGAATTCCTTGTCTTTCATCAGTTTATCAAATAATATGTTCACAGGCGATTTTCCTTTATGGATTGGTAACATAAGCAACTTGGCATACCTGGATTTCTCAAGCAACAGTCTAACAGGAAGCTTGCCATCATCAATTGGTAACCTGAAAGCACTAAAATATTTGAGCCTGTCAAATAATAGGCTTACTGGAAATATACCAACGTCACTAGCTTACTGCTTCCAGTTATCAACTATCCACTTAAGGGATAATGGATTCAATGGTAGCATACCAGCTGGTTTATTTGACCTGGGATTGGAAGAGATAGATTTTTCCAATAATGGGTTAACAGGCTCAATTCCACGAGGTTCAAGTAGACTGTTTGAATCTCTTCAAGACTTAGATCTCTCTAGAAACAGCCTCCAAGGAAATATTCCTGCAGAAATGGGTCTTTTTGCCAACATGAGGTACTTGAATTTATCATGGAACAATCTTCAGTCAAGGATACCACCAGAGCTTGGGTTATTTCAGAACCTAACCGTGTTAGATCTTCGAAACAATACCTTATACGGTGCTGTTCCAGGGGATATATGTGAATCTGGAAGTTTGGCTATTCTTCAATTGGATGGAAATTCATTGACAGGGTCAATTCCAGATGAGATTGGGAATTGTTCATCTCTCTACTTGCTGTAAGTGTCATTAATCCATTTTTCCTTTTATCTTTGTAATTTCTCATATATATTATGGTATCTAATTCATGCTTTCTTGGACTAATATTATATGAAACATCTTGTTTGTAGGAGCTTGTCTCACAACAATCTAAGCAGTTCCATCCCCAAATCCATTTCGAAATTGAGCAAGCTTAAGATTCTCAAACTGGAGTTCAATGAGCTAAGTGGAGAAATACCCCAAGAGCTTGGAATGTTGGAAAATCTTCTAGCTGTAAATATATCATACAACCAACTTATAGGCAGGCTTCCGTTAGGAGGTATATTTCCAAGCTTGGACCAAAGCGCTTTGCAGGAAAATTTGGGAATTTGTTCACCTTTGTTGAAAGGACCATGTAAGATGAACGTCCCAAAACCTTTGGTTCTTGATCCAGATGCCTACAACAGCCAAATGGGTGGTCATAGGCAAAGAAATGAATCGTCAAATCTCACAAGATTCCATCATCATATGTTCCTTAGTGTTTCTGCCATTGTTGCAATTTCAGCAGCTATTCTGATTGTATCTGGGGTGATAATTATAAGCCTCTTAAATGTTTCTGCTCGAAGAAGACTTGCATTTGTGGAGACTGCAATGGAAAGCATGTGCTCAAGTTCTTCGAGATCAGGAAGTCTGCCCACAGGCAAGCTCATTCTGTTTGATTCAAAGATATCACCGGATGGGATTTGCAATCCTGAAGTCCTCATTAACAAAGCCGCTGAGATCGGTGGAGGAGTCTTCGGAACCGTTTACAAGGTCCCATTGGGTGCTCAAGGAAGAATTGTGGCGATCAAAAAGCTTGTGACATCAAACATAATCCAATATCCAGATGACTTTGATCGAGAAGTTCGAGTTTTGGGAAAAGCAAGGCATCCAAATTTGATATCACTAGAAGGATACTATTGGACTTCTCAGTCTAAGCTTCTGGTAACAGCGTATGCACCTAATGGCAACTTGCAAACAAAGCTCCATGAAAGAGTAGGCTCTGTCCCACCACTTTCTTGGTCCAACAGGTTCAAAATTATTCTTGGAACAGCTAAGGGACTTGCCCACTTGCATCATTCCTTCAGGCCACCAATAATTCACTACAATATAAAACCAAGCAACATCCTGCTTGATGAGAACTACAATCCAAAGATATCAGATTTTGGATTGGCAAGGCTTCTGATGAAGCTTGAAAAGCATGTGATCAGCAACAGGTTTCAGAGTGCGGTAGGATATGTAGCACCAGAGCTGGCATGTCAGAGCTTAAGGGTCAATGAGAAATGCGATATATATGGTTTTGGGGTGCTGATCTTGGAGCTTGTGACAGGAAGAAGGCCAGTGGAATATGGGGAGGATAATGTCGTGATACTAAGCGACCATGTACGAGTTTTGCTGGAGAAAGGGAATGTTTTGGATTGTGTTGATCTGAGTATGGGTGATTATCCAGAAGATGAAGTGTTGCCGGTGCTGAAATTGGCGCTGGTGTGCACCTCTCAGATACCATCCAGCAGGCCTTCCATGGCGGAAGTGGTGCAAATACTGCAAGTTATCAAGACCCCAGTTCCACAGAGAATGGAAATATTCTAAGAACTAAACTATGTGACTTTCCTTCGCTTTTTCCACCAACACATTTGCTCACTTGTCAAAAACCATTTCTTTAATTCTTGCTCTTTTCTACTAAATTAGCAAGATTTCTTCCATCAGTTGTTGGAATTCTGCATTTTCTTTATCTCTCTATATATATTGTTCTTTAATAGCATTCCTCAAATACAATGCCGTAATCTAAGATAAAAAAAATTATAAACACTAAAATTTAAATCTAAACTTTTTAACCATCACCTCTTGGAAGTGATTTTTTGGGCTACATCAAACATTCATTTACAAATTTGAAGAATATATTAAATAGAGGCCCGAATTTTCTTTTTATTAATCAGTTACTTGTAAAAATTATCATGAAAAATTTTGAGACATTTTAAAATCATTAATTATTTTTCACAGTTAATAAAAACATATTTATATTATTACTTTAATAGATTAATTTTGACAAATAATCATTCTTATGTGAAAGTTACCACAATACTATGACCCGATATCAAATTTACTTCCATTTGATCAATATACTTTCAATTTTATTTATTTTTAATAAAAATAAAAAATTCACAATATTTAGCTAACACAAATAATAAATTTTCATCAAATCCATTATTTTAACACAAAGTAATAAATTTCAATCAAATCCATTATTTTAAAAAGTTTACAAAATTTAAATATAATGATTCACCCTTCGTGCAATAAATGATTTTATCTATATTCAATAATTTTAAACACATAACAGTAACATAAAAAAAAATGATGTAATTTAAAATTTAAATAAAAACTGAATAATTTAACAAAAATTGAAAAAATTTATGTTTCACATTTAATATGTAAACACAAATTATATTACGATAACTTTCTTGTATGACACAAAATAAACACAAGCCGAATATACAAATGCCATATTTAATATGAGCACATTTTAAGCTTGATAGATTGAGCTATAGCTGTTGATAATTATGATGCTTTTCTAGTCTATTCCGGCCAATCCATGAGCATTCAAGCCAAGGGAACATCTATATAGAAGTTTTTTTCAAGGCAAAGGGTGAAGTAAATAAAAAATTTCCTAAATTGAAAAAAGAATCTAAAGAAAAAAAAAAAGCCAACATTATAATTGTTCATCCGCAAATGGTTGGAATTACAGCAAACCAGTACCCATAAAAGTATCATTCTATTCAGACATTGCAAAAATTTTAGCTTTGATTGTAAAACATGTTTCACAGCATTGATTTCTCTTGTAATACTACTCCAGATAATACACCTATAACAGCAAAAATGCAGACAACAAACATTGCAAGTTTGAAGTTTCGCATCACTTATCGTGCAAGGACTTCATTAAATATAATCTGTTGAAGCTCTGCCCAGCAACCCTGTAAAAATTATTTAACCATGACAAAATTTCAGAATGTCATGCCAATGATCGTATGAGACAAAAAAATAACTGAATAATTTAACCACTTGTACATGAAAACAAAAGTAAAACCTTCTGTCATTTTCTTTCTTTTTTTTTTTACTTTTTGAAAAAAAATTGATTAGATTACACTACTTCATATTATTTTGCTCCCAAAGAAATTAGATTTCGGGACAATTGTTGTCATTTTATTTTCAGGTCTGAAATTTTTAACAGTGTGAAGTAGCAATTATCAGTAATACGGTTATAACAGTCAACATAGTTGCAGAAGACAAATGATAATGCAATCACGTGATATAAACAAGAAGGACAACAAATAAATAAAGAGATTGGTTGTGGGAAATCAAGCCAAAGGGGAGCATCCATTAGGATTATATTATGCTAAAGCATTAGTGAAAGTCTAAATGGAAGAAACAAGTGAAACAAAAAACAGAGAAATAGGTTGAAAAGCAGAACTTGAGATGTCAGGCTATCCTGAAAAAAATGAGATTAAAAAAAAAAAAAAAGACAACATACCCGTTGATTTGGTTGCAGTAATTAGCGATTTGATTTGTTATGAGAAAGCTCTCCAACCGTGACGGCTCAGGGATTGGCTTAAATATGGGATTTGAGGGATCTTCCTCAGGCAAAGGCTCCTCTCCGGCAGTTTTTCGTGCCATGTTCTCAGCCCTACAGATATAAAACAGAACATACATGCTCAACCATACATTACATAAATTAGGTGAATTAAGAAAATAAAAACACAATATAAACTATAAAGCCTTTTGATAAAACAAAATCCACTCTATCCAAAAAAGAACAGAGAAGTGGCAGCTCGAAATCCTAAAGAAAGAAGAGCAACCTTCAACGAAATCTGCTTGAAAACTTTGTGCCCCAGAAATTTCAAAGTCATCATACACTAGAAAACAATTTCTTTTATTTTATTTTCTTTTCATTTTTTATCTTACAACTTTGTTGTTCCGTTTCCCTCTCTGGCAAGGAAACTCACTTATAAGGTTAGCAGAAGGAATTTGTTTGAATAACATGGATAGCTCAAGCATTCTACCTCCTTTTCTGAAGCCATGCCTGTTGCTGGGCTTGTTGACGTGACAGGCTCCTATTGTAAAATTGAAACTGCAAAATTGGGAGGAAAAAAAAAGAAATTTATGTTAGACATAAAATAACAGCTAATGACAGCAGTGTAATTATCAGAGAAAGGAAAAAACAAACCTTCTGTTGTTCCATTGACAAATCATCCATGCATTCAATCAAAAATTCCATATTCCTCTCCATATATGGATTTGTTGACAATTGCAGTCGGTCATAATCACACTAAAATAGAAAATTACAGTTAGAAGGAAGGAAAACTTCACAAATACAGTCTTTGACCATGGTACTACTAAATTTTATTTAACAAACATCTTATATTTCACCTGTGTGACTGGTGTATCAGATTCCAGCTCAGTCATAAACGCACTGATAAGGGCAGAATTTGAGACTTTGATCTGTCATACATAAACAGCACCAACATTAACATGAAAGTGGGAACCATGTTTTTTCCTTCTTTTTCAGTACAACAGGAACTGTGTTTGTTTCATTTGCAAATACACTAGACTGAAATCTTTATAAAAAATGTAACAACACAAACTTCAGTACACATAAGGCCAGTCCAAGCTAAAAGCTCGTACATTCAATTGTCAGGACACTTTGCTAATTATATGCAAAGTAATTACCAGGACACTTCACTTGTTTGAACTTCAATCAGCAAGATGAAAAATACCAATAGACTAATAGTTATATCATACAAAATGACAGCCAAGGATAATGCGGCCTCTATGATAGATTACATTAGTTCATCAAGACAGAAAACAGTGGAAGCCTTAGAACTTACAGGAATTTCCTCAAAAATATCTACCCATGACAAGTTTTTCTCCCTCAACCTATAACAGCAAAAGAGACCATCAATATGGGATAATACAAAATTCATATTCATAATTTTTGACAGTAAGGTGAAACCATACTTCTCTCCACTAAAGTTATTAGCCCGGTAAAGTTCCATAAAAGAATCAGATAGCTTCAAAGCCTTAAGAGCCAAGACACCTTGATTTGACCTTGAAGGATCATAGATAATGCACACACACCTCCTAATATTATCCTGCATGGAATAACAATTAGGCAGATAAATAAATACTTTAATAAATAAAACAACAAAATAAAGTTTGACAAGTGAATTTAAATGGAAAGCAACACAATTTTAAGTTCAAACAAATGGCCATAGAGCTTCTATTTGATTGTATTATTATTTTTAGTTTTTTATTCTCAGATTGAAGAGAAACATCATGTTCATTATCAAGCCAACATTTATATTCAGGAGTTTCAAAAAAAACTGACACCAAACAAAGGCAAGGATGTTTCCTTTACAGCTGTTCAGGTTAAGCAGGGCATATGTTCTTTTTAATAGCCACTTTCATGTCTTTAGTTCTAGCTGTGGTGCTCATGCCAAGTCAATAGAAGCAGCGAAGGAAGACGCATAAATCTGAAGCAGAGATTTGCAGCAATCTTCATATTGCAACAAAATAAAACAAAGGTGAACCAGTGCCCTTAAGTTCAGTACCTGATAATTCATGAAGGTCTCAATCAACTCGACCGTCTGATATGAACCCAAAATTGTTGATTGGTACCTGAAAAATATGCATGGCAAAGATCACTGCAGGAAACATAAAAAGGTAGAAGTGTGCATAATTTACCATAAATTAAGGTACAAATTACTTGAAAAACATAACTATTAAGATACTTAACATACTACAATAATGGTATCACAATTAATTATTAAATGAACTAGTATTGTTAATAACTTAAAATCATAAACAGGATTGTGGTTGCTAACTCTATAAGTATCTAATAAAACATCCATCAACTACTACAAAATGTTAGGCTCAGCTTGATGTCGTGTTTTTCTTTTAGAAGCAAAAGGCACACAAATGCAAATGATTAGAGAAATAAAAAATTAAGAAAAAAAGGTTTTCATGAACAGCTGCAAAGTGCGTGATCTTACTATTAAAGAGAACAATTATTTCGGGATGTTTCGCATTTTTTCAATCAAATATGAGTTTATCTTTTACTCCTTACTTCTACATCTTTCAGCAGCTTTTAATGAACCAAAAAAATCAAGTTACAAAGTAACAATCAAACGAAACCAAAGAAAAAAATGTTAAATTTGTAAAACATAAAAGACAGACATTACCATCCAACAGTGTTGTTATCAACATTAACCTCTCTAAGACATCTCATCATCTCAAGCTGATAATTAGCTCCATCAGCTTCAATCTCCTCCTCTTCCTCACGAACCTGCCTCCAATATTTAAAACATGAAACATTCTAATTCAAAACACAGAAAACAAAAACAAAAAACAAAATTAAAAAGAAAGTAAAAGGAGATTGGCCAAATTACCGGGAACGGGAAACAGTTAGTAACTTCAAGGACACTACCAACATCTAATCCAAGAAGTTGGCCAGTAACCAGTGCCGGTGAAAACTCCTTGCAGTGTTTGATTATTTTTAATATCACCTAATTTTCAAAATGTATAGAATAAATTTAATTGACAAGAAAATAGAAATTCAAACAAAATTAGCAAAAAAATTAGAAGAAGAAACGAAGGAATACCAGCCCTTCGATCTGGACAACTCGGAGAGGAGAAGCAACCTCTTCCGTTGCTGCAACCTGAAGGAACGACCTTGCCATTGAGTTCGCCATTGTTGATTTTTCGGTTATCGCCGACGAGAAGCTCTGGTAGCAAACAACTGAAGAGAAAACAAGAGAAGCTAAGAGAAGAGAAGAGAAGCCCTAGGTTTTGCTTCGCTTTCTCTTCTTTTCTTTTTTTTAAATAATTCTTTTTCTCTTCTTCATTGATTCGGATTGGGATATGTATAGTATTGGGCTATTGCTGTTTGGATTAAATTTAGGCTTTGACTTCAACCTGTTATTGGATTGGATCAGGTCAAATTTAAACGGGTGATGGTTTTTGAACGAAAGTTTATTTATTTATTTATTTATTCATTTGAAATAATAATGGTAAAATTAAATACTTTTATATATTTTTTATTAATTGATTGACATTTATTCGAGGGTTGAAATTTTTATTTACCTTTTAAATGAAATAAAAAAATAATAAATAAAAAAAATTAAGGCAACAAAGTATGGATGAATTATAGCTTACCCTTTGAATAAAACTTGGTTTGTTACTATTTTTATAATTCTTACTTTTTATTTAATTATTTTTAAAATTATTTTATTATACACTAAAAACCAATTTTTTTAAAATTTACAGACATAATTAAAATATTGTCATGTGCTCATTTAAGTATTATCGAGCTATGATTAATTTGAGGAGTTTGAAAGGAAAGCAAAGGAAATATATATTATTAAAATATTTTAAAATTAAAATTAAATAAAAATATTTTTATTTATTAAATAATAACGTCTCGAGCTTCATAAACAAGAGGATAATCCACCACCAAAAATAACAAATTTAAAATCAAATTTTAATGCAAGGGTTGATACAACGATAGGACATAAACATTTGGGCGGTTATGATTGATTGCCCATTTGCCCTATATATGACTAATAGAAAAAGATGTGCGTTCGTAGAAAAAATTGCAAATGTCACGATCCATGCACAAGTCTAAACCCATTATAATTAGGCTTAAATTCTCAACTCATGACAGTTGCAGCCAGTGTTTATTTGTTAAAGATGGTGGGTCGACAAATGGTGATAACAACTTTTAGAAAGGAAGACTATGATCGTAGGCAAGGAAGGCACTCAATGGGCTTGCCGGCAGGATTAGTAACATGTTCACTCCCCTCCTAGACGGTAAACCTCACAATTTGTGCTTGTCTATTATGTTTATATAATTTATTTTTATTTTTATTAAATTTATATATAATTTTTAAAAAAATTTAAATTATGTTATTTTTACATTTTCTTTCAGATTAATTTTATATCGTACTTAAAATTATTAAATTTATTAAACAAGACTTGATTTTTCGTAATCGAGTAGACATTAATTAGAAGGTGAAGGAAGGGTTCTTTGGATTCAAACCCAAACCTCTATGGTGCACGATTCCTCACTTCGAGTAAGATATCATTCACCAGGCACGGAGCCAAATGCTCAGATACAATGATATGATAGTTTATGGATTTATTTATTCATTTCATTTTATTTATTAATTTTTACATAAAAGATAATATATTTGATTGTAATTATAATTTTTTTTTATACTAATAACTTTACGATGGCCCTACAAACGGCAGATGAATAGCGGTTTGTTCTGAAAGAATCGGCTATTCCCAATACATTCACGGATGCAAAATCCTCGTCCAACAGCACATGCATGGCACTTACCACCGTATTGTCGTTTTTCTTTTGTAATTTTTCAAAGATTTTTTGATTTGATTTGTCTCTGTTTTTGTCTTTTATTTATTAATTTATTATTAATTATATAATTTAAGATATGTTGTATGTTATGGTTTTAAATTAATGCAATCAATGGGGTAAAGAAATGAAGAAACTTAAACAAAACAATTTTAAGAAAGCTTTAGTTTCACTGTTAAGGTGTAAATAGAGATATGGAAACATTATCCCAAAATACAATATTTAAATGAAGAAATTTAAGATTACATTTTAAAAAATTTTAAACACACATGAATCGTAAAACAAGAAATTAAAATGAGAAAGAATGATTTAATTTTTTTTATCAATCAAAGATTTTATTTTTTTGAAGATTATTTCAGGAATAAAATACTAAACACATCAAATTAATATGAAAAAATATATATGTTTTTAAAATCGTTCGAGAATTAAAAACAAATAAAATTTAAAGATATATTTATTCCTGTTATCAAAAAAGTAAAAAATAAAACATTATTTTTCTTTCTGCCACCGACAAAAAAAATGTATATATTACTGTTAATTTTTAAAATTTTTATCTTATTTAAATATATTATGGAATTTTTAGATTTTAGATTTTTTTCATTTTTATCTAATTTAAGTATTTCATGAAAATTTTAGATTTTACAAACAAGATTAATAGAATAATATATGCCTCTTAAATCATTAAAAAATTAAAAAATAATTAAAAAATTAATCTTTTAACTATATGAAGTTAAAAATTTCTTTGCCAATTAAAAATGAATTTTCAAAAATAGTTTAACCTGAATTTTATATATACGAGGACAGGGATCCGCATTTCGGTTGAAGATTTATACAAATTTAAATGTAATTTTTTCAATTGAGTAAGATAATTTAAAAAATAATTGATTTAAAATTTATATAATCTAATCAAGAGTAAGACAATTTAAAAAAAAAAAAAAACTGTTTTCAAAAACCTATTTAATCTACATTTATTTTTTTTTTAAATAAGCAAGACATTTAAAAAAAAAAATCCTTGTGTTACATGCATTATTATAAAATGCTTTATTATCATCAAAAAATAATTTCAATATCTTAAAAAAAATATAAACAAAAATTTCATTAGTTTTATTAAATCACTTTAAAATAATAAAAAAAGAAGGTAAATATATTAACTCATTTCATTTAATGGGTTAACTCGTCAAATCAATGCATACAACTTTCATATATCTATAAATATATAAAACCTAAAAGCATCTTACTTACTTTTATTTATTAGATTTGACATATGTTATATATGTGTATGTAACGAAGATCATTTGAATTGGAAGTAAAGCTCAAAAATTATGACCTAAGATCAGACGTCCATATGAAAATGAAGTCAACTGATTGGGCCTACCCTGACAGCATCTCTCGTGGGTTCCACCACTGTTTCAATCACGAGGCAGCAGCTGCTGCTTATTCATATAGTCCCTAGCTGATCTTGCTGCTACTATATGCAATGGACATGAAACCATCTGGGATGGATTTGGCTAACCAGAAGAACAAGGCTGAGGAAGATGGGAAACAAGAGGAGGAGAGCAAGATCAAGAACAAGAAGCTTGGAGGCATCAAAACAATGCCATTCATTCTTGGTGAGTTTGCATTAGTATTGTTCTTTGTGTTTTTGTCTGTCCTGCTCATGTTTTACTTCCAAAACCAACATTAATTCCCAGATATGGCGTAATAGTTTGTGAAGACTAAATTTCATCATCCAATTTCTTTCTTTTGGTACTTAACTTGCGGGGATTGAACTTGATCAATGAAATTAAAAATCCAACATTTTATAAATAGATCATATATATGTCGGCAATCATCCAGTTTTATATTCTTTTGCAGGGTAAAAAACATGATTTTTTATCCATAACATTTTAAATTAATATGTTTCAAATTTATCCTTTCATTAACATATAATTAAAATTTGGACGGAATTTATCAAGTGCATTTAAACAAAATCGTCGTGCAACAAATTTAATCCACAATTCATCCAATCTTTGGTGGATATTTAATGGTGGAAGTGTAACAAATTCAAAATTTTGGATATGAAAAAGTTTATGTTTTTTAGGAAAAAAATCAAAGACTAATGAAGCAATTTATTCAATTAAAGGAGTTGTTAGCCAGAGAATTAACTGCATCTTCGATTTTTTTTTGACAGGAAATGAAATATGTGATAGATTTGCAGCTAGTGGATTCCATAGCAACATGATAACATACCTAACTCAGGAACTAAACATGCCCCTGGTTCAAGCCTCCAACACCCTCACCAATTTTGGTGGAACCGCCAACTTTACTCCCCTCTTTGGTGCTTTGATTGCCGACTCATTTGCTGGTCGCTTTTGGACCATCACTCTTGGTTCCATTTTTTATGAACTGGTCTCTCTTTCACTCATTTTCCTCAAGTGCTAAGCAGTTTGCAATGATAAAATTAGTAATGAATTCATTCAATTGATTAACCCATTGCCCTGTATCTTGCTGCAGGGCTTGGTTAGCATCACCATATCGGCAGTGCTACCATCGCTTCGTCCGCCACCGTGCCCGACTCAAGAAAACTGCCAGGAAGCTTCAACATTTCAGCTGTGGATATTGTATATTTCTCTTCTCCTCACATCTCTTGGCACTGGTGGCATTAGGCCTTGTGTTGTAACATTTGCTGCTGACCAATTGGACATAGATAAACCAAGCACTGCTCGATCTAAGAAATGGAATTTCTTCAATTGGTACTATTTTAGCATGGGATTGGCCACATTGACTGCCTTGACTGTGGTGGTTTACGTCCAAGAAAATGTGGGCTGGGTTTGGGGTCTTGGGATCCCAACAATAGCCATGGCTATATCTATTGTAACCTTTCTTATAGGTTCACCCTTCTATAGAAAAATGAAACCAGGTGGAAGTCCATTGATTCGATTGGCTCAAGTGATTGCTGCAGCTGTGAAAAAAAGAAAGGAAATTATACCTGAGGACCCCAAGCTCCTGTATCAGAACAAAGAGCTTGATGCAGCTATTTCTGTTCATGGAAGACTTGTACATACAAATCAATACAAGTAAGCTATGCTTTTCTGTTCAAAAAACTTATTTTATATTTGAAATTATCAAGATTTGAACCCTGATCACTAAAACCAAGAGTCTGGCATGGCGTAACTGCTTGTTCAATCTCTATTTACAGATGGTTTGACAGAGCTGCAATAGTAACAGAAAGTGAGGCGAAAAATTCCAACCCACCAAATCTATGGAGGCTGGCAACAGTCCATAGAGTGGAAGAGCTAAAAACCATAATCCGAATGTTGCCAATTTGGGCTGCTGGAATTCTACTTGTCACCTCATCCTCGCATCAGCATAGCTTCACCATCCAACAAGCTCGAACCATGGACCGTCACTTATCCAAATCCTTCGAAATCCCACCAGCCAGTTTGTCCATCTTCGGCATCCTTACTA